AAATTCTTACTCTGACGGGCACCTGGGTGGCTCAGTCTGTTAAGCATCGACGTGATTTTGGCTCGTCATGTTCTCGGAGTTGTGAGATGGCGCCCCCCTTCCCACTCATGTGTGGGGCATGGATCCTGCTTAAAATTCTCGCTCTTCTCTCCCAACTCCACTCCAAAAAAAACAAAACAACAACAACAAAAAAAGCAAAATTCTTACTCTGAGGCTCCACAGTCTTCCTTGATAAGGGTCAAAAGCACAAAGTAAGAACACCTATCCTGAATCTTTCTGGTTAAGCCCAATTCCCAAGCAGCCTTCTGTTAATTTATTGAACAAGATCTTTGTTATAAAACTACTTTCTGAATTGGAGTAACACAAGTCACTGTTTCCCTAGGTCAACTATAGATTGGCGGTCTACAACCCGAAAGTAACAGGATCAGGCAGGTTTCCTCATTCAAGACCAGTAAATGTGTGTGCCTCGTTTTCCCCTAGGGGACTGGAACTAGCTTTCCATCTTGACCATAATATCAGGTCCATTTTAACCAGCACTTATGAAATATCTATGATGGGCCAGAACTGTGTCCAGGATGCAGACACTGGAGGTCGGCCTTTGAAGATACTCCCAGCCCAGGGGAAGAAGTGAGACACAGAGAGGAGGACTGCTAGACCTTTTGAGGGCTGACTGGCCAGAGACTGTTTGGTCTAACAGGGCCAGCAGAGGCTGTGAGTCCACACTCCCCACTGGACTAGGCCCTAGCCCACTTGCGGTCCAGCTTATATGAGCGGGAACAAGTTATGTGTCCTCCACCAACCCAGAGAAACTCAAACCATCCAAACATGGAACATGTGTATTCTTGTTAGCCTCGGCTGAGAAATCACTGTTTTCCGGGTTCAAGAGTCCTCAGAATCCAATTCTTCACTTACAAGATGACCAAGGATGAAGCTTTGTTTTTTAGCAAAAATTAAAATTTCCTGAATTAGGTCATCAGCCCCAACACTGAACAGGCACCACCAGGATCAACCCATGCCCAGTGGCTGCTGAGTACTAGTGGGCTTGCACTGGTAAGTAACTAAGTTATATGGAATCGCAACATAATAACGTAACTAAGTGGTTCGAGTTTAATTCCATTAAAATCACATCATGGAACTGGAGCATTAGGAAGGATTACTGACAAATGGGAAAAAGAACATGAATCCAGGCTCCACAGGCATTTGACTCACCCTTGAGTCACATCCAGTACTTAACATGCCAACACGAATGCCTTTTGACTCATTATTATCAATTAAAATAAATGTTTTTGGAGACCTCACACACATGTGGTAGATTTCTCACCAAGTGCCCCTAACTGAAAATTAGAACTTGTAAGATCCCAGTCTAGCCAGATTCCCTTATTTTCCAAGTGTAGACAGCTATCAACAGCAAGGGTGATATGTCTCCCCCAAACAAAGTTGTGGGGAAACACTGAATCAGAGTTCTCAGGGCACCTGGGTGAATCAATGGTTAAGCATCTACCTTCAGCTCAGGTCGTGATCTCAGGGTCCTGGGATGGAGTCCCACCTCGGTCTCCCTGCTCAGCGGGGAGCTTGCTTCTCCTCTCTCCCTCTGCTTCTACCCCTGCCCTGCTCGTGCTCTCTAGCTAATAAATAAAATCTTTTTAAAAAAATTATAGGTAAGGGCGCCTGGGTGGCTCAGTGGGTTAAAGCCTCTGCTTTTGACTTAGGTCATGATCCCAGCGTTCTGGGATCTAGCCCCCGCATCGGGCTCTCTGCTCAGCTGGGAGCCTGCTTCCCCCCCACCCCGCCCTCTCTGCTTGCCTCTCTGCCTACTTGTGATCTCTGTCTGTCAAAAAAATAAACAAATAATCTTAAAAAAATTATACATAAAAAGAATCAGAGTTCTCTTACTCCCAAAACACTTTCGTAGGGACTCAAGAACAAAGATGAATGTATACACACATCCCACTCATCCCCCTCCTGGGTATTGTTTCTTCTTAGAATGTTCTTCAGCTCGGCCATCAAAATTTTTTCATCTTTAAGATTAACAGGCTGAAAGGAGCACCTGGGTGGCTCAGTCAGTTAAGTGCCTGCCTTGAGCTTAGGTCATGATGAGGTTGGGGGAGGGGTGTTCTGGGATCCAGACGAACAATGAGCCCCTTGCCCCTGCTCAGCAAGGAGTCTGCTTCTCCCTCTACCCCCTCCCCTCTGCTCACGATCTCTTGCTCACTCTCTCAAATAAATAAATAAAATCATTAAAAATGTTTTTAAAAAATTAACAGGCTGAAATTAAGGATAATTGGCTGGAAATGTTTTATTTTCTCCTTGCCCAATTAAATTTAGATGTCTACACCTTGCCAGCTTAGAACCTGCCAGTTTCTCCTGCTCCCCTCTGAACTGTGCATCTATGGTTCTCTCCCTCTCTAGCCACTGTTAGCCCCAAGTTCTCTAGCTTGGGGCACCTGGCAGCCTCAGTCTGGAGAGCCATGTGACCCTTGATCTCCACGTCGTGAGTTCAAGCCCTTCGCTGAGCACAGAGATTATTTAATTAAAAAAATTAGGGGCACCTGGATGACTCAGTCTGTTAAGTGGCTGCCTTCAGCTCAGATCATGATCCTGAGGTCCTGGGACAGAGTCCAGCACTGGGTTCCTTGCTCAACGGGAAGCCCGCTTCTCCCTCTCCCTGGGCGCTTGTGTGCGCTTTCTCAAATAAACAAATCTTTCTTAAAAACTTTAAAAAAATAAAGTTCTCTCACTTTTTCTTCATAAAGTGAAAGTTCCCCCGCACTTTTACAACGGAACACAGAAGCCCATTGTGAGCCGTCATTTCAACATACCACTTGAATTAAGCAGAATGCTGTTTAAGGCTTCAGGCACCAGCACAGACTGAAAGAAGTGCCAGAAGCTTCCAGCCTCATCCTGAGATTACCCTCCTCAGAGCCTAGAAAACCCATGTTCAGTAAGTACAGGTCAATGTTCACACATGCTTCCACCAAGGACACTTCCTAAACGCAGCTGGGTGACCCAGAACCACTTCAAGCCTCATCCTCCTCACCTCTAAATTCAGTATGCAAGAACCTTCACTAACCACTAATCCCTAAAGTTGGCAGGGTTTATTACTCAACAAAACCTGAGCCATCTCACACCCAACACTAGCTGCACGCCCCAATCACCATTTTATCTCTTGACTCTCCCAGTCATCTCCCTTCTCTCTATCCTCAACTAAGAAGTGTGGGAACTAAAAAATGCTTTGTTTTCTCAAAGTCACTTCCCAACCACCGAATACACTGCCATTACTTAAGAACCTTGTAGTATTTTAGGGCAACTCCCTTAAAATCAAGCCATATGAAGTGTGCACTGTCCTTTTTTTTTTTTTTAAACCATCGTGAGGATAATACTCGGAAAGCTTGAGAGGTAAGGCCAAAGTCCCTTGCAGAGCCAATCAAGAAAGAGAAGATGCAAACCTAGGTCTTGCTTCAAATCCCCCAAAATTTTTTGTTTGCTTAAATTAAATCTGCCTTCGGAGAGCCTTTAAGCTTGGGGGAGAAAATGCAAAATGAGTTTTCAGAACTTCAAGAAAGGAGAAGAGAAAGAGAGAAAGTGGAAAAAGCCACGGTTTTAAGTGGGAACAGAAAAGGTTGCTCCATCCAGTTCGAGGAAAACGGTGAAAAGACAAGATATGGATGAGATGCTTCATGTGGGATGTACGGGAAGCGCAGATTCAAGTCTGCAGTCCTTACAGGTTTAAAAGCCAGCAGAAAAAAAAGACTGGCAGTCCTACCCCTCCCCCCGCCACGTTAAAACCCAGAGAAAAGCATGCAAAAATACCCTTCCCCTTCGTAATTCCTGCACACAGTTCCCACTTTCCAGCCCTCTGTTCTGGCCGGCTGGGTTCTGAGCCTCCAAGACTCGGAGAGTTATAGTTCCCGCGCCCAGACCTCACCCCCCTCTTCCATAATCTTCGTTTCCTTTCCCGTCCCCCGTCCCTTTCCGCGGGACCCGTCTCCTACGCAGTCGGCTAAGAATTCTGCAAGCGGCGGCGCGGTCCTGCCCCAGCCCTGGCTCCCACGAGGAGAGCCCCCGCCCCAGGGTGGAGGGAATTTACCCGCCTCGGAGTACAGGAAAAGGTCACGCGGGCGGCCCCGCGCGGCGCACGCCCCCCGCCCTGCACCTCCGCCCTAAGTGGGGGCCCGCAGACGTGGGGGTGTTCCTCCCGGGCCGCGCGGCGCGAAGGGGACCCTTGCAGGGGCGGCCACGCCCGCACGGGACGCGCGGGTGGGCGACCCGGGCCTCGAAGGGCGGCGCCGCGGGAGTAGGGCTGTGGGGGGAAGCGGCCCCTCCAGGCCCCGCGCTGCGGTGGGAACCGACCTCGGCGGGAGCTGGGAGCGCGGCCCCCGCGCCGGCCGCCGGTGCACGCGGCCCCGCAGCGCGCTCGGCGCCGCAGCCGGAGAGCCTCCGGGGCCGCGCGGGCCGTCCGCATTGTTCGGCCCGCGGCGCGCGCCCCGCCCGGTCCCCGCTGGCCC